CGATTTAGCAGCGGGGTCTATCTGCTCTTAGACGACCCTCATGACGCTCTTACCCTGCAACAACGCCGCCTCCAGGCCGCTCCTCCGCAAGTTTTTCCGAATCGCAATACGTCGGCCTTCGCCACGGTCTTATCCCTCGAGACCTCACCTTCAAGTATTCAAGGGGAGCAACCCACTGCAAGATATTTTCATAGCTTTCGTTGTGGGGGGACCATCCTCCGTCTCTTCAAAATTAACAAATTCCATCACTTGGGTCAGAATCAAGATATAAAGATGGTGGGAAATGGAAGAAACCCGAAGCAAAATTGGAAAATTTGGGTCTGCTACTTGAATGCCTCAGAGAAATTTAGTTGAATTTATCTGTGAAATTGTTGTTTTTTTTTTGGTTCCTAATGTGCTATTGAAAGCTCTGGAGGCAGAGCACCCAATAATCGACTCCAATTTCCAGACGAACACAAGGTCATCTTCTCTGCAGGTTCTTCACTACCAGGTCAGAATCTATGCGTTACAATAATATACTATATATATATATATTGTAAGTATGTATGTATACGTCTGCAAGTTTGTTTCTATGTTTCGCATCATCAGGTGTTTAAAGTTTTGAATTTCATGTTTTATTATTTGTACCACTGGGGTTCTTTGGTATCTGATTGGTTGATTATGTCTGTGAACTTTTTGGGTTTATTGGGTTTTTAGTTCTTGGTTGTTCCTTTTTGAATTTCTCTTCTAGCAATTAATGATGCTTGGTTATTTGATATTTGTAGAGAAGTGGGTTTAATTTGAAAAGAGTTTTATAGAAAGGAGAACGCGGAGTGCCGGGTGGCTGGAAGAGGCGGAAGAGCTCATCATGTCAATGCCAGAAAAGCCTAATTGGGTACGGACACATGGTGACCTGACGAGAGGGAACCTTGCGTTCAAGCACTTTACTGAACTGGAACCAATGTCTAGTACGGAAATTAACAATGAATGTGTGAATAACATCATTCTTTTGATCAATAAGAAGGAAATTTGGGTAGTACGGAATGGTAAAATGCTTGACCATCTAAATGTTTTTTTTTCTTTTCTAAGCTACTTAGTACTACATTTTAGTGATGTTCTTCTTCATTTTATAAATGCGAGATTTTAGACTTGAATTTCATGAATATCGAATTCGATAATAATTTTACAACCACCTAATGTAAATGCATCTACAGTTATAAACACGACTTCTTCTATATTATTATAATAGTTTCGAACCGAATCCTCTATAAAAATTGTAAATATACCTTTCTATCAAAAGAAACAAAAATCCCTGGTACAGAATAGAAAACAGACGGTTGTTAAAAAATGCAGCCGATTAAGCGCATAAAAATACATCAAATACGATACAAATACGGTAGAAATACGAATACGCACACAACAAAGAAAGCCCGTCCTTTTCGTAAGGTTCTCTTCAACGTTACTCTCTTTCGGTTTCTCAATTTGGGATTTCCAGATCCGAACAACGAAAGGTGAAAGTTTCTTTTTTCTGTTTAAATATTGTTCCTTTTTGTGTGAATTTCGATTCCCAATTGTGAATTTTAGGGTTTTTCTGATTGGTGTCTTCTCTCTTTTGATTATTCTGTAGTTGTTTTCCCCCAATTTACTTTATTTTTTTTTTTTTATTTTATATTTGATTGGGGGTAAGACCATCTCCAACCCTTGGGTTAAAAGCCAAATTTTTTTAGCCCGAAAAATTTAGCTTTTAACCCAGAAACATCTTTTCTGCTTCAACCCTTCTACCCTAAAATTTTAGCCCGGAATTATTAAAGAATGAAATTAGCCTAAATTTTTTTCTTAAATCAATTTTTTTTTTTTTAAATATGTAGATTATTGTAAATTAATTTTATAAACATTTTAATCTAAAAATATTTAAATTCCGATAAACATTTCACATTTAGCCCGGGGGGAAAGCTTGGGGGTATTTGGCCCAGAGATAGCATTTGGCATTTAGCCTAAAATTTTAGTATGGGTTGGAGAGTGTTTGGGGGGGGGTAATTTGGCTTTTAGCCCAGAGTTGGAGATGGTCTAAGGGTAAATATTGTTCCAATTTACTTTCAGAATTTCACCTTTTGTTTTTATTTTATTTTAATAAGGGTATGTTATCAATGATGCCGCCAAAATTAATGTTTTAATTTTTAGGTGTTAAGAAGTAATTTGGTCACCCTGGTAAGTTTTGTAATTTTATATAAGGAGATCATTTTTTGTTGGATGTGGCAAATTTGTATGTCTACAAGTGCCATTTTTGCATAGTCTGAGATACTAAGTGTTACACGATTCATGATATTGAATTTCCATACATGGTAACTCAGTAACATATGTTGTGTAGTCGAGCGCATGCATGACATAGTTGTTTTCATTCTCCCTTCTTGTTGTGATTCTTATTGTGTGAACATCGATATGGTTGTTATGGTTTTTCTGATTCTTTTCTTCTCAGCCTTATATTTTAATCAGGTTTTTGGAGTTTATTTTAGTTTCAAAATTTTTATTGGCTAATGCACGCGTTGATTAAACATATTCCTGAAACAAGTTGCTCCAAGCATGGAATATCATGAATTTCATTTGCATGTTTTATCTGATTATTCATTCATAGTTATAAGTAATGATACAACAACATGAGTAGTTGATTCCTTTTTTTTTTCTTTGTTATGTAATTATTTATTCATCAAGTTAGAAGGTCAACCTGTTCACATCTTGGTGTTTGCAATATATGTTGATCTATAGTGTTGATTTGTATGCTAATTCTTAAGTAACTGGCTTGAACTTTTGTTGGTGCTAGTTGTGGCATTGTTGGGAAGAATATGTCCCATTACGCTGGTTATGTGGAGGATGAATACGAAATGGAAGATGTAGACGATGATATGGATGATGAATTTCGCGGTAGAGAAATGGGCGGCTCAGATTCTGATGTTGATGAATATGACTACTCGGTTTGTGATATACTTGCATGTCTTACTAGATTTGTCAAATATTCACTGCTTTAAGAAACTATTTATGTATAACACAATTTTACGATATGTCTTTTATGCATTCAAATTATTCAAAGTTGGTAGGAGCATTTCACTTTTCATGTTAACTGTGGTTAGTTTTGTATAGCTGGGACTAATATGTGGATCTTGTGCAGAATAGTAAAGTAGCTGATACAACTGCTGCTCAAGCAGGAAAAGGAAAGAAGACATCCAAGGCATTCCTTGGGATAGACTTAGCATTACTAGAGAGAAATAGCGACATACTAGGTTTGAACAATACAAGAATTATGAGAGTATTCCTAATTCTGGAGAAGGATCAGGGAAGGTAAATAACCACTGTTTTCCACTTTTTTTTTTATTTGTTATATACTTGATCGATGCTAGAGACGTGGCACAGAACCGAGTGCAATGACATTCTAGGATTCATACAGCCAACCCCACTTAGTGGGAAAAGGCTTTGTTGTTGTTGTATACTTGATCGATGCTGAAGTGTCAATTTGAACTGGGAAGAGTAACTTGATGTTGACTTTTTCCTCTTTGGTATACAGGATTGCAAAGATACAAAGAAAGGATCTGTATATTATGAGTTCAGACGAAGTACTAGATCAGTGAAATCAACCATTCTTCATTTTCAGGTGTGCTGGGTGCAAGCTTGCCTTATTACTTCTTGGCTATTTTCTGCATACACCACACTTAGTGGGATAAGGCTTTGTTGTTGTTGTTTGTAAATCTTTGGATGAAATTTTCTCAATCGCATATCATAGAACTGATAAGACTTATATTTACTGGCTTGACTTGTTACCTGGGGTGAGCTTTTGCTTGCAGTGCCCCTTACAATTGACAGACTCATATGGTTTATCTTTGCTTGGTAATGCAGTTGCGTAACCTGGTCTGGGCTACTTCCAAGCATGATGTCTACCTGATGTCACATTTTTCTGTCATTCATTGGTCTTCATTAAGTTGCACAAAGTCTGAGGTTCTCAATGTTTCTGGACATGTGGCACCATCGGAGGTAAGTGTTTTTTAGATAACTTTTGTTCAATAACCAAGTCATTTTTGGGAACTGATCTTTCCATTCTTCCATGTAGAAACATTCTGGAAGTCTCTTGGAGGGATTTACGAGGACTCAAGTTAGTACTCTTGCTGTAAAAGATAAGTTGCTAGTTGCTGGAGGATTCCAGGGTGAACTTATTTGCAAGGTGAGTTACAAATAATTGAATTAACTAAGTAAGCAAATAAATGAATGAGTATTTATTGCACAGTTGCATACCTCTTGTGCTTATGGTGTCAACATGGCTTGGTTTGCACTTATCAGTTGTGACCTTGTACATGGTTCACCTGGACCGTAGGGGTGGTACCGGAACACACATGTTATTTATTCTTTGTTTTAGCTCTATGGGTGCTACTCCATTCCAGATGGATCTTCTGGATGACTTAACCTTCAAACTTCTGCTATCAGTGTCCATTATATGATTGACAAGACCTTTGATACACTTGACTACATTCTGTATATGGATTCTGTCATTCGGCTGTGTCCACAAGATCCCTTTTAGATTCATTTTTTTCCCTTTGAAGAACTAATAAAGAGAAAAGCTCAATGCTGACAGATTTATCTTATCTTTGACTGCTCTGCAGCATCTTGATCGGCCTGGAGTCAGCTTTTGTTCAAGGACAACTAATGCAATAACAAATGCTGTTGAGATTTATGATAGTCCTAGGTACTTTTTTTTTCCTTCATGAGATCGGGACTTCTCATTTCCAAATTCCAATCATGAACCCAACTGATATAATCCCCTTGAATTTCGCAGCGGGGCAGTTCACTTTACAGCCTCTAATAATGACTGTGGAGTCAGAGACTTTGACGTGGAGAAATTTCAGCTTACTAAGCATTTCCGTTATCCTTGGCCTGTGAATGTGAGTCTACCTCATGTCATCCAATGCTGATTTTCATTGGGTCACATTTTACTTGTGATCACTTAATGCTTCTTTTAGTCAGTTTTACTTAACTTCGAGGCACCTCTATGCTTTGTTGGCAGCATACTTCTCTGAGTCCTGATGGTAAACTTCTTGTGATTGTTGGAGACAATCCGGAAGGGATGTTGGTAAACTCTCAAACTGGAAAGGTATGTATCTCAGACTTTGACAGACTTCCTGAGCTAGGAAAGGACGGTGTGCTGATTTGTATGAGTTTCTTTTGCAGACGGTGATGTCTTTAAGTGGGCACTTGGATTTCTCCTTCGCATCAGCATGGCATCCTGATGGTATGACCTTTGCTACTGGGAACCAGGACAAAACCTGCCGGATTTGGGATGTTCGAAACCTTTCCAAGTCAGTTGCTGTTTTGAAGGGGAACCTTGGAGCTATTCGGTCAATCCGGTATACTTCCGATGGTCAGTATATGATGATGGCAGAGCCAGCGGATTTTGTGCATGTCTATGATGTGAAAAGTGGGTATGAAAAGGAACAGGAGATTGATTTCTTTGGTGAGATATCTGGCATATCATTCAGTCCGGACACAGAGTCGCTTTTTATTGGAGTGTGGGATCGTACATACGGTAGTCTTCTTGAGTATGGCCGAAGCCGGAACTACTCTTACCCTGGTGTTAAGAAGTAATTTGGTTACCCTGGTTATGTTGTCGGATGTGGCAAGTTTTGTAATTTTATATAAGGTCATTTTTGTTGGATGTGGCAAAGTTTGTATGCATACAAGTGCGATTTTTGCATAGTCCCAAATACCAAGTGTTACACGATTCATGATATTGAATTTCCATGCATGGTAACTCAGCGACATATGTTGTGTAGTTGAGCGCATGCATGACATAGTTGGTTTTCCCGATTCTTTTCTTCTCTGCCGTATATTTTAATCAGGTTCCTGAAGTTTATTTTAGTTTCTAATTTTTATTGCCTAATGCACGTGTTAATTAAACATATTCCAGCAAACAAGTTGCTCCAAGCACGGAATATAATGAATTTCATTTGCATGCTTTATCTGATTATCCATTCATAGTTATAAGTTATGACACAACAGCATGAGTAGTTGATTCCGTTTTATATATGGCGTCTATGGCAGAGACAGCAGGGACATCCATGTCAAAAAGTACTTTGTATATGGCGTCTATGGATTCTTTGAGTTGCCGTCGCGATGTTTTAGCAGATTCAGTATCTTGCATAAAAATAAGGCTTAAATGTTAAAATCGTCCTTGTGTTTTAATCATTAAGTCAATTTAGTCCATGTGTTTTCAATTTAGCCAATTTGGTCCTTGTGTTTTAGTCATTGGGTCAATTTAGTTCCTGTGTTTTCAATTTGGCCAATTTGGTCCTTGTGTTTATCTCCGTTAGCCAATTAAGGACATTTTATCCAATTTTCGAAAATAAAATTTATAAATTATTATAAACTTATTTATAAAATTATTTATTTGATTTAAAATATTTAAAAAAATGAACTAAAATTAAAAATAAAAAAAAATTCTCCTCCCAACTCTCCAACCTCCTCCCTAACATTAAAATAAATGGGTCTGATTTAATAATTCGGTGCTTATTTAATACAAGGCTTAAATGTCAAAATAGTCTATGTGTTATAGCCATATGACCAATTTAGTCTCCGTGTTTTTATTTGGCTAATTTAGTCATCATGTTTGTCCATGTTAGCCAATTAAGGACATTTCATTCAATCTCTTTTAAAAAATTCATAAGAAAAATTATATGAGATATAATTACCCTTTCTCTTTACAGAAAAATGAAAGTCAATGAGAAATAACACATATAAGAGATAAACTTCCAATCTGAAAAATGATTAAGGTTGTGACATAGAAGGGAGAGGGGGTAATGTTAGGGAGGAGGTCAGAGAGTTGGGAGGAGATATATTTTTTTTAATTTTTAAATATTTTAAATCAAATAAATAATTTTATAAATAAGTTTATAATAATTTATAATATATTTTTTTCAAAAATTGGATAAAATGTCCTTAATTGGCTAACGGAGATAAACACAAGGACCAAATTGGCCAAATTGAAAACATAGGGACTAAATTGACTCAATGACTAAAACACAAGGACCATTTTAACATTTAAGCCTAAAAATAAGGAAAAAAAATTAGCACAAAAGGTGGATGGGGACAATACCTTGTGAAGGATAACATGACAGAGAGAATTGATGCAATGCAATGCAACCAATCTAATTTATAACTCTAGACTCTAGGGTAGCAGCTCACCATCATAATGGCAGATTGGTATAGACAAGACCACGGGCTGCGAAGATGGCTTCGCCTGCATCCTAAGAAGAAACACAATCACATATCAGCTATACCTGCTATCAAAGATTCAAAGGCATCAATGTAAACCAGCATGTCACATGATAATGAAGGTAGTGCAATTTCGTGTATTGTTTTAAATTGAAATTTTAGCGAAAGTATCTTAAATGTGCTCACTTGTATTTAAGTTATTGAACATGCAGATTGAATAAAGAAATCTATCTAATTAACTGAGAGAAAGAGGATTGCATAAAAAAAAAACAGCTAAAAGCTTCTTCAACTATGAAGTTGCTTGACTAATACATCGTATTAATGAAAACTAAAATGGTGGAGTCTACAGTACATCGGCGACTCAACATTACCAAATTCTTGCAAGTCAGACCACTTCACCAAAAAGGTTGCTGACCGGCCTGATGGACATGCGTATTTGCTCCAGCCAAACTTGCAATAGCCAGAGCCCCCTTCCCAAGAAATGTAAAGATAAAATGAGGGAATAGTTTATGTCGGAGCTAGATAAACTCCAATGTTGGCTAACAAAGCAAAATCATAACTCCACTCATATTATTATGGATAATAGTGATGCTAAAACATTGAATCGCTATTGTTAGCCTTCCGAAACATAAATATTGTTAATGCGTAAGGAGGTCGGAGACGCTCACCGTCAATGATAACAGAACCAAGAACTTGAACTCGTTGACCATAGATACCCATGTAGGACAACTGGGGACTCTCACCCGAGAATGTTCTTCAACAAAAATAATATTTGAATAAGCTCGGCCATTAAACTCCAACCACAATTGAATGAACAAGCACCAAACAACATTTACATTATTTCAGCATCAAAGAACACATTCACTAGGCAAGTCCATGGTTTTCTCACCAAAACAATGGCGTAACGTTTTCTCCAAGATACTAACACTCAATTTCAATAATCACAAGTTTTTATATTTTACCGCTTGACATGCTTTATGTTTGAACTGAGCACTAATTTGAATTGAAGTTAGGGAAATTTTATTTAAACTCATCTAACATATTTATATACCCAATTTACTCTTTTAATTTATTTGATTTTTAACTAAACTATTAATATCTCTTTAAACTCAAATTTAATACCTAATATACCCTCATAAACCCAATTCAATATGTGGATTTATTTTTACTCCCATTAAATTTTTAACTCAAAAGTTGCCGGCTGTGCCACTTGACTACTGAATAGCTATCACCAAATAAGCTCATTGATTCTTCAACAGATGTAAGATTGAATCCGTGAATCCGTTATTCCACTGTAACTTCCTTCTTCCTCTTCCCCTCTTCCTGTTGCCGACGAACACAGAAAAGTTAGAGAGAGAAAGATGGAGAGAGAAAGATAGGTAAAGGGAGATGGCGTTGGACTGGTCTTGCTCCCAAGTAAAAATGGCTTCCACGGAGGGTATAGTACCAATAACCAGGGCTTTTCTCGCTTCCTACTACGACACATACCAATTCCCCCCTCTCAAACGACATCGCTCGCCTCTCAGCCGAGATTCGATCCTTCACCGCCGACTTGCTCCGCCACTCTCCGGCGGCTCAAGGTCATCGTAATTTCAAAACCCTTTTGAAGATTTTACATATTTTTGCTAAAGTGATCAACTTTTTCCAATTTTTTGCTTGCAATCTAAAAAATTCAATATCTTGCATAGTGAATGAATCGAATGGGTTTAATTTTTAAGCGAGGAGAGATTGTTAGTCAGTGAATTGGATAGTGAACCTCCCCATAAAGTCGACAAAAACATGTGGAAGAATCAAGAGCATATGGAAGAGATACTATTTTTGCTTGAAAAACCCTAGGGGTGGGTTCAAAAACCGAAAACCAAACCGAACCGAGGCCGAAAAAAACCGAACCGAAAAAACACCGAACTGAAACTGTCAAACCGAACCGAACCGAATCTGACCGGTTCGGTTTCGGTTGTTGAGGTTCGGAAACCGAACCGAACCGATATATATATATATATATATATTTAATTATTTTTTTAAATATTATAAATAGTTTAGTCATACAATCATAACAAAACATACCTTGTTGCTAAGTTGGTTTCGGTGAACTTTTTCAAGCCCCAACACACGGGTTCGAACCTCTAGGATGTCTGAGATGTTTTTTAATTTTTTTTGGAGAACTTAACAAAACCCTTTAACCCTAGCCACTAGCAGCCATACCTTTTCAGATTGATGTTTCATTCCCTTCCTCTCTCTCTCGTTCCCTGCCTCTTCTCCTCCAGTGTAACCCTAACCCAGCGCAGCCGAGCCTCATCTCTCTCTCGCTCTGTCTCTCTCGTTCCCTGCCTCTTCTCCTCCAGTGTAACCCTAACCCACGACGGCGCGACCCTTTTCCCTTATCCCTCTCCTCTGTACTCTGGACCCTCTCTCCTTCCTTCCCAACTCCGCCGCTCTTCCGCTTCGTCTTTTTCCTTCACAGCGACCTGCAAGTTGCGTGTGTGGAAACCCTCATGGTTTGATCAAGAAGTACGGCCTCATGTGCTGCAGGCAGTGCTTCTGCAGCAATGCCAAGGAAATCGGCTTCATCAAGGTAAAGGCTTCGAGAACCCTTAGCTACTGATCGTGTTCTGATTCCGTTTACTGAGCTGAGATTACACCGTTTCCACAATGTAATTGGGTTTCATTTTTCGAACTTTTTGTTTGCAGTACCGTTAAGTGGCTGATATTCAAACATTCCAGGAGTCGATGATTTGGCCCAAGATAAGTACTAGTAGTAGTGGTTTCTGAGTTCTCATCAACTTTTAAGAAGATATTTTTGTTTTAGCTGATCTGCTGTTGAACTTGAATTGGTTGTCAGACTTAAGAATATTTGTTATTAATGAATTAAAGTTTGATTTATGTTCTCTTTTGTGTGGTTGTTTGTTGTTTCTCTTGTTCTTTTCTTGGTCATCTCGAGTTGCTTGCTTAGCATTCCTTGGTTCCGAAGAGATTTTTGCTTAACAATCTATCTATTATTGAACTTGAAACTGGCAGTAAGTGGTTATCCACATTCTATGTGTAGTGTTTGTTTTGAAAGTGATGTACCGTGTTCTTGCTATGTTCTTTAGGCTGTAGTTATGATGCAGACTAAAGTAGTTTAAGCGGATGGGAAGGCTTGAGGAAACACATGAGGATTTGACATATGATCACCCCTTGCACTTGCTTTAATTGCAGAGGAATTCATTGCTTTTATGGTTGCCACTACCAAAATTTAGTAATCTATCAACAGTGGCAAGATGATTGACATTACCATTTCATTTCTTATCAGATTAATTGGTTGAAATTTTAGATTATTTGGTTGAAATTTGAAATATATTTTAGATTGCATTGGTGAGGATTTGTAGTAGTGGCAAGATGATTGACATTACCATTTCTTCTTCTGTAGTATTTGCACCTCCTTCTGATGGTAAACTTTATAACCAAAGGGATGATGGACTTCCCATTGACATTAAATTACCTGTTAAGCACATCTTGATGGGTCTATCTTATGTTTATGCACTTCTATTTGCATTCTTGATGGGTCTATCTTATGTTGGGGTTGTTTTGCATTTGTTGGAGGAAAAAAAAAAAAAAAAAAAAAACCGAAACCGAACCGAAAAAACCGAACCGAAAAAAATTTGGGCCGAACCGAACCGAACCGAAATTTCGGTTTGGTTTCGGTTTTGGCAAAAAACCGAACCGATTAGAACCGAACCCAGCCCTAAAAAACCCCATTGGCCTCAAACTGTAAGTCTAAGCTAAGTTAATGTACGGTTTAATTATATTGTTTGGGTTTATTGATAAATTTGAGTTTTATTATTAATTTTATTTTGTACTTAATAGTAATTATGCAATAGGATAAAATAGACAATTAACATTCAAAATTTTAAGTTGGGTGTAAAAAGAAGTTGTATAGGTTTAAATAAAATTTCCCTTGAAATTATTATACATTTAATTGAATCCCAAAAGTGAGATGTTTTAGCTGAGTAGATAAAATTGAAAAAAAAGAAAAGAATTAAGAAAAATTTAAAAATGAGAAGTGGGAAATGCTCGAAATTGAGCATACTATAATGAGTTTCCGAGAAAACACTAGATCCCCAAAATACCGTTGCCTACAATAACATAATCAGATGTTTTGTTCAACCAGATCCTCTCAGGATCTTTTTGATGAGGATCATAGAGATTCGTGAATCGTGTCTATTTATCGTACATAGTACAATTAATTTTTATCAAGTACTATTTGTGTTTAATTTTAAATAAAAATATTTAAAATGATTCTGAATTGATATTTTTGCCCATGTTTTAACTGTTATTTATTTATTTATTTATTTTTAACAAACAATATATCTACACTTACTTTTGGGTATTGATCAAATATAGCAAAAAATTAACCTTTAATTTTAAAAATGTCAGTTTTTATAAAAACTTTCAAATATATACAAAATCTCATTTAAGTAGACGCAAATACCCTCAAATTTAAAATGCAAATAAACTAAAAAATCAAAACCCTAGACTTAAGAAATGGTGGTGACCTGTATATAGTAGGAAACGGTAAAGACTTGTGCAGCCCTAAACAACGATGATTGTATTTTTTTGCATTGCTTCCCATCAACTTTTTCTCTTTGCTTTTGTCGATTCTACGTTTTCTCTTTGCTTTTGTTGTTTCTTCTTCAATTGAATATTTATTAAAGAATGAATTGTCAATAGTAACGCTATTTATCTCAATTTTCCTTTGGTATGAAGCAATCTCTTTGAAATCTGTGAGTCTTCGACTGTAATTGTTTCATATGTGCATTTCACTTACTGAGAATATTCTATGAAAGCAGTTCGTGCAATTATCTATTTCTATAATAACTTGTTTGTGCAAAGATTCATGTTTCCAGCTAATAATGTACATAACAAACCTCCATTTAATTGTAAAAGTTATGTCATGCCTATTAAAGATAATCAAATAGAACGTATTCATGTCTATTCGATTATACTGAAAAAAGCATGGAAAAGTTTTTACTATTCAATTATATTGAATAAGCCTGGAAAATTTTTGTCATGTCTTAATTAGGTAGATTAAAAGATGTAAAAAAAGCCTTTAGGGAACAAAGTCGACTATATTATATTTTTCCAACCTGGGGATTGTCCTTATTGCTGAGAATTTGAATGATGTACTAAGGTTTCTTTATTATTTATTGAAATAAAATTGAGAGACATTTTTGTTTTTCGTTTGGAAAATAAATGAAAATAAAAAGGAGAAAATTTTAGTGAGAGATTATAGCATAAGAAGTCTTTTAGTCAATAATTAGTTATTCACTAGAAATAGTGCCCGCGCGTTGCTGCGGGATTAGAAAATGTATGAGAAAATATGTTTCAAAAGGATAAAATAATATAGATATTTATAGAATGATCAAGTTTGAATGAAAGGTGCAGAACCATTTGTATAGAAAATGAGAACAAAGGGATTAAATTCAAATAGAGGAAGAGGTATTATGATGTTAGTAAACAGAAAATTGACCTATGTTTTAAAGAAAATTTTTGAGAGTCTAATATAAGTTCCTATATTTCCGTTGTTTTCCTTGTTCATTCACAAACCCAAAAAAAATCTTCTGTTTACTTTATCCAACCATTGAACTTTTATAGAGTCAATAAAGAACACTAACCTCAATTGGGAGCAAAAGAGTGCTCCACCATCACATGATTGAGTTTTATAAGGTCTTCCATGTTTACAAAACATTCATAACTAAATTTATTAAAGGCTCAACTTTGTACATGGAATAGAATGCTACACAGCAAATTAGAAACAACAGAAAAACAGAAACAAAAATGAGAAAAGGATACGGTTATGCACCCTTGGAAGAATGCAAATCGAGAACTGTAATTTTCTTTGGAGCCAAAAAGAATCAAATGGTCAAAAAGCCATGAAAAAAGTTGAAAACCCACAAAAAACCAAAATCTTATATGATTTTCCTCATACTAATCACACAACGAAAACTACAAATAACAAAACAGGAAAAAAATGAAAACGATATGGCAATGCATTGTTGGTAGGATCCATATTGATAATTGTAATTTTACTGTGGGGCGAAAATGATGAAATGGTCAATGGAAACATGATAGACAGATTGAAAAAGAAAAATTGAAGCCAAGGAAAATCTTGAAAATTCACACAAATCCAAAATCCTATAGGAGTGTGTAAATGGCAAAATTCAAACAGGTTGAATAAAAGCAACACTTGAAATAATTTAAACAATGACATTGTTAATCAAGAGTTAATTCATTAGTATTTTATCTGTAAAAGTGAAGTGAAACATGTAAAAAGATGGATCAGATATAGCTAGTTAGATGCCTCTTTGTAATATAGAGACAAAGTATGCTGAGTTATTTCAGCCTTCATCATTTGGAGAAATAATCATCACTTCCATCTTTTCTCTTCAGAGGAATTGGTTGCTACCAATTTATACACAAAAACTTTCTCCTTTTGACGTATTGTGAACACATGGCTAATTGGTTGGTTGTCTAATGAGAGGTTTGAGTTGGACATACAAAAGTATAGATGAAGATGTTCTGATTGAAGATATACTTTGTACATATGTCCCCCTTAACTCATCAATGGTCAAGCAAGGAATAAGCTATGTATTCAGATTAGGTAAAAACGAAGATCGTTTGTATATACATACATTGGTAGCAACGAATTCCTCTGAAGAGAAAGGTTAGTAAATATTGAATTTAAACGGGAATCAGCAAAGAAAAGAAAGTTAAGAAAAACATACCATTAAGTCATTCCATTGTAGTTGAGGATTTAGGCCATACCTAATAATCTTTGCTTTTATACTGTGCTTAACATATTTGTTGTAGCTGCAACTTGGTTGTTGAATTTGTCATGTGTCTTCTTTTCATTGAATCTGCGGAGGAAGAGGTTAACATCTCACTATACATTGAAAAAGCAATTGTAAAAACTTTGTTTATTAGAACATGTTTAATCTCTTTGAAAATGTTTGAATTCTTTTTTTAATTTAGGTAGAAAATTGGAAATGGATATATACTATATGTTTAAGGAAATATTAAAAAATAGGATAGGCAGATGGAATAGTTTTGAGGCTTTACCATAATTAAAATAAATGTGCAATTGCAGCATTTATTTCCTATGTAAGCAAACTAAAAACAGTAGTTCCAATGAAGGTAACCTGCATTTGGTTGAACAAAAGTGGGTAAGAATATTAATGTAGCAGTAAGAAAGTATTTAACAAAAGAAGGTGATCAAATGATAACTATATAAATTGCTCAATATGTATTCATGATTATAAACAAATTATTGTAAATTTTGTAACACGTCTTTAAATACTATATTTTTTGTATAATTGTTTAAATTGTTTTCTCCATTTCCTATCAATATTTTTAAACCTTTTCTTGATGTAACTCTAGATAATGCAACATATAATTGACCATGAGTAAAAACAGGTTCAGGAAGATATAATCCAACTTGTTTCAAAGATTGTCCTTGGCTTTTATTAATGGTCATTGCATAACATGGTCTAACTGGAAATTGGCGTCTTTTGAAAATAAAAGGCCATTTGCTTTCAGTTGCTGCAAGAGTGATTCTTGGAATGAAAACTTTGTGACCAATATTAGTTCCAGCAAGAATTTTAGCCTCAATAATTCTATCAAATAATTGTGTCACAATCAATCTAGTTCCATTGCATAAACCCAAAGATTGGTTTAAATTTCGTAATAACATAATTGGCATTCACACTTTTAAAATGAGATTGTGTGTAGGCAAACCGTTGAAATCAAGTTTGTTTAAAAATTCTGTAGGATACATTGTTTCAAGATTTTCAAAATTTCCATTTGAAGAACACAAAGAATCATAACTTAAAAATGTATGATGTTCTCTAGGTAATAAATTAGTTATATAATCATTTACATCCGACACAGTTGTGTTTCGAGGTGTAATAATAGCTCGTTCTCTTAGATATACAAAATCGTCAAAAGAATTTTCAAAATTGGGAAAAGTTGCACAAAAGATTGCAGCAATTGGGTTTGTGGAAGAATGGATTATTAAATCTTTAGGTATTTCAATCACAGATGTATCAATGTCATTTGAATCATTTAGTGCATCTATGTTATCAATTTCTCCATCACCTACTTTTAAAATCCAATTTGCAAAATCTTTGATTTTTTGTTTTTCATCAATGCTTATATCATTTCTTAACAACCTCATATTTTCTTTTAAACGAAAAATTTTAAAATGTGGCCACAAATAAGAATTGTTTAAAGAAGCATTTATTATATCTTCTTTGTTTGCTCCAGGAATAACAGGTAATATTTGTCGAAAATCACCTCCTAATAAAAGGGGTTTACCACCAAATGGAACAATGTTATTCGGAGCATGTAAATGTGATAGAATATCAGAAAGTGATTTATCCAATGCTTCAAAACAATATTTATGATTCATAGGTGCCTCATCCCATATAATCAAATCAGTTTTTTCAATTAATGTGGCAAGATGAGTTTTTTTCTTTATTGGACAAATTGATGTATCAGTAATAACCAACGGAATTTTAAACCTAGAGTGAGCTGTTCTACCATTTGGTAATAATAATGATGCTATTCCTGATGATGCCACAGCTAAAACAATTTTGCCTTCAGATCTAAGCTTACTTATAATTGTATCCCATAAAAATGTTTTTCCAGTACCTCCATGGCCATAGACAAAAAATAATCCTTGTTTTCTTGTATTTACAGTATCTATAACAGTATCATATACATATTTTTGTTCTTCATTAAGTTGTGATTTCAATATTTCATGTTTTCTATATAATTCTTGACAATCATAATTTAATTCTTCTCTTAAAAGTTTATTTTTTATTTCTAGCATCTTTTTTTCATCAGGCATTGGCAAACAATGTTTTTTGCAAAGAGCTAGATGCATTGTTAAAAAGTAATTCTAGCTCAAATAAGACAGAATTTTTTAGTTCATCTTCCGGAACAATCATATTAGGAATTGCAAAAGTTTTTTGCAGCTTGTATAAAATATCGTCATACATATTTTTTCCAATGAGTATCAAAAAGAATTTCAGGATTTGCAACATCGCAAAACAAAAACTATTGTAACAAATAATTGTCTTAACTGAGGAGATGATGCAACATGTGTAGCAGTTGATAAAGCATCTAACCATTCTTTATCATCACCTAATAATCCTAATGATTTACATGCAGCTTGATATGAAGAATGGAGAACACCATTAACAGTTTTGATATCATCAAAATTCAATGCACCTTTTTTTCAAATTTAAAAGCATTCTTAAATAATATAACTCACCAGATGCAGGGTGCACATATGCTATCCTACCAATTGATCCTTTGCGTTTCCTTGGCTTCCAAAACTTCTGTCGTCCATCATATAAAAACTTGGATGGCATCTGAGCATAAGTTAGCAAGCGTGATTCATTATAAATTTTATTTGCTTCAAACCAAGCTGTTAACATAGTATGTTCAGAAGCTCTTTGATTAATAATTGATTCCAATGATTGATTACCACTGAAAACAATGTTTTGTTCTAATGGTAAATGGACAGGTAATCGCTCAACAGAAGGTTCTCTATAATGTATTGAATATTGGAACAATCTCCAAACAGCCTCATATGGTGATATGTATCTACAATTGAGATATGCTAATATTTCATCATTTGAATCTTCTTGAAGAAGTAACCGTGCTCTATCTGAACCTTTATTAATGTATTTGAACAAATACTTTATAAGCATAGATTGACAACATGATTCAACATTTATATGAGCATTGTATCTCAAAAGTAGTTCTGCATTATAAGGAACAACAAAGCTATTATCAATTTTGATGCCATTTTTTATGAAAAATTTTGTATCATCGTCACAACGCTTATAAATTGGAAAACCATTAGGCTCAAATAGTGTTTCATTTTTATATGGTTTTGGAAAATTTTTTGAACACTTATTTTCTCGCATGCAAGGAGACTTTGAATTAATGTGACCACATGGACCATGAATCATAAATTGATTAACAATTTCATAAAGCTTTGGATTAACAATTTTATCCGGTATTTCAGCTGAAATAATAGAATCTATATCACATGAGGAATGACACTTGAAGTTTGATTTTAACCATATTAATATATGAGAATGAGGCAAACCTCTTTTTTGAAATTCAATCGTGCAAACATCTGTTTATAAGAAAAATAAAAGAAAACAAACAAACAGAGAAAAAAAATTATGTTAGGTCAGAGAAAAATAAATAAACATTAATAAAGGAAAAGAAGGACTCTTAGAGACTTACTTGCTTCAACTTCTCCAAAAGGTTTTCCAGATTTTATAAAGTGAAGCATATCATCGAGTTTCATTTTAAATACTCTGGAAATTATATCAGGCCTATCTTCAGGTTTGAATCCTGGTTTTTTCTGAAATTCTCTTATGATTTCTGGCCACTTTATATTGCATGTGAATGTTATGAATAAATCAGGATGTCCATATTCTCTGCAAATAGCCATTGCATCTTGATAATTATTAATCATATATCTAGGACTCCCTGTGTATGAAGCAGGCAATACAATTTTTTGTCCCAAATTGTTTGCATCATTATCACCCCTTGACATCGCATCATAAATTCCTTTGTAAACTTCACTTCTTAAATTTTTTTGGTTTTGCCTAATGTAATCTAACCTATCTTCTTCAAGTGTTGCATAAGAATCAACCAAATATTGTTGAAAAAGTCTCCCCCCTTTTAAACAATGTTGTTAAGCATGGTTCTCGTTCTTGAATTTGATACGCTATAAAAGCTCTCATGGGTATCCTTTGTCTTTTAGTCTCTGAACCCTTATAATTTTTGTTCCATTTTAAATCAGGTCTATAACCATCTTCACCGTATGGGAAAAGAAGAGGATATTGCAAAGACATAAATTTTGGATTTAATTTTGTAACACGCTTTAATCCTTCACTTTTAGACTCAATAATAATATCTCTATTAGAATCAGCAAGTCCTATATCACCAACTATCAGACCACTTATTTCATCACTTGTTGGTTGGTCATATTGTTTACCATCTGTTGTTTCTCTTGCTGATAATCTCATTTTCAAAGAAGTGAGTCTATTAGTTTCAAACTTATCTCTTGCTGTTCGAAAAAGCTTAACTAACTCATTTGACATATCAAACATCTTAATCAAACCTTCAACAATTTTTGGATCAAGCTTTCTATTATTTCCATCAGATTCAAAAGCCTTCAATCGATTTTGCACTTCATTGTATGTATCATAGACATATAATTGTGCAAATTTTGGACACTCATTGTCAGCAGGCAACAGAGATCCCATCAAATGGCAAACTTGACCACTAATTTTGAAAATATAAGGACCTGAACCATCATTAATTGAGTGATCAATTTTGGCTCCCATCGAAGTAAATGAAAACATAGAATTGTAAGCTCTAATATTTCTCGAAATGATAAACTTTTTGGACCACCATTTGGATCAAGCAAAGATTCTAAAAAAGGCGGTGTTGGTTTTGGATTTGGAAAAGCAATTTTTCCTTGTTGACAACAAAGAGTGAAAATAGGTTCATCTTTTTTACATACTTGCTTAAGAGACTCTTTCAACCAAAAATAGGCACCGCAGTGACTACATTTATAATTCTTATCCCCAAAATCCACATAATCTTTTAAAACCCCTGCAAAAAAAATACACAGGAAAGAAAAGAAAGAAAACAGGACTTAGAAAAGATATGCAATAAACTAAATATAAATTTACACGATAACAGAAATATATTTTTATATAAATTAAAAAACATACCAGTTCTGCTTTTCTGGAAGAATGCTTGGCCCTTGTTCATAAGATTGTAATTTTGAGGATCAATCGTTTTTTCAGCCATGTTATCAGAATTATCCAACAAATTAATAGGTTTTTTACCTTTTCGATCAGAAGGCTGAACAATTTTTTCAACAGATGCAGTATGCTGCACTTTATCATAATTAGCATTTTTCAAATCGCATTGTACAACAGCTGATCCACTACTACTACACTGATGTTTAAAATATGGAGTTCGAAGAAATGTATCAATCTGAGATAAAACAGCGTTTTCATGATTTTCAAGATAACTGGTTCTACACACTTTTCTTGGCTGATGGTCACACTGAACCAAGACATTATATTCATTATCACTATTTGTTTGTTTTTTGTTGTTATCATCATTGACCAACGCATTTATAGATCTTTTAGACATGTTGAAAACAAATTGTTATGAGGAAAAGCGAAGAGCTGCAAAAAAGATTGGGAAAAAAAAAGAAAAAAAAAGTGAAAAAAATATTAACACATAAATCACACAGCAAAAAAACATAACAAACATTAATTATGAACAAACCATCAAAATTAGGATTTCAATTTAAAGTTAAAGGAAATACCAAGTTTATTCATACTTTATAAAACAAAATCGAAACAAATACTTAAAATTTGATCTTAACAATTCCAAAATTTTAGCTCACTCACCTTTAGTACAGAAATCTTTCAAACACAAAGACAAAGACGCCAAAGCGTGAAAGCACAGTATTTTGAAACCCTCCTTTTTTTTCCAACTTGCAGAGTTGAAATTTTTCAAGCACCTGTATTTGTCAAGAGAAATCATCACATTATATCAATAAAAAAAATCATCGGTAACAAAATCGATACACATGAAAAAACAAACAGTGTACAAATAACAGTCAGGATGAAAATGTGCTTGGTGAACAGAAAGACAAAGAATGGTTCACGTGGCCACCCCAAAACAGGTTGAAAATTAAGCTTCACTATGAATGGAAAGATTAATAGATGATAATTAAGAAGGCCTGATACCCAAGCCAAAATCGGAGATATCCTTTGTAAACAAAAAGATTGAGCATTTCCACTAATTTTATTTTTTGGGGGGGGGGGGGTGGTGTTTGGGAAAGCTCATAAAAAGACATCAAATTTTATACTTATTGCATGCAAGGTATGCAACAGCTTCCCACCGCTTAAAATCACATAAATAAAGGGAATAGAATCAAGAAAAAAAAAGTTAATTACACAATAATTACACCTTCACTAAGATTAATAAATTAACCAAGGAAATAAATTATAAAAATGAAGACCATGAGAATAATTGGCTCACCTTTGTACTGTGATTTGCTGCCAAAAAACAAAAATAATGTCATATACATTAAGCCTGCCTAATTACTAAAAACAAAACATTTTGCGAGAAGTAAGAACATACCCAAACTTGTTTGCAAATAGATGAGAAAATTTTATACCTGAAACAAATGGGAAATTTATTAGGAAAGATAGATCAGCCCATATGTGTGTAATCTATATGCAAAAAACTACTTTCTTCATCAGCCAAATCGTTTCACAAATAAATAAAAAAACAGAATCATATCTTGAACAATGCCAATTAATGATTTCCCATTTCCTTAAGCCCAACATGAAAGCCAATGAACTAATGAAAGAGCGAAAAAAACAGAAACAAAAAAACCTCAATTAAGCAATCAACTGGAATCAAATGGAGAACTGTTTAACAGACCTGGAAAACTACTATAAAAGGTTTGAAAATTACCCAGTAAGATTAAAAAAAAAAGATGAGATGGAGCGAGAATCACATACCAGCAACACGTTTAAATATGTAGGCTCCTCTGAGAGAGTATCAAGACTGACTGATGAGAGTGCAGAGAAACGAATGATTAAGAAATTAAAGCTCTAAGCTCAAATTTGGGGCTTCCACTTTCCAACTGGGCAAGAAATAACAGAGAAAACACAGAGAGAGTCAATCCACCAAAAATATTAATCAAATGGGTTTCTTCTAATTCAAATTTTGGACCACCCAAATTCCGATGATGCAATAACCCAAAATTCCAACAGATTGAAGCTCTCACAGGTTACAAATCATCAATAACCAGCAATAAAAAATTTGAAAACAGTAATAATGTAGCAAAAAGAAATTAAAGTTGCGAGCCATTCTCTAAATCTCAGGCAGCAATCCAAATCACCAATAATTTGCACATAATGATAAGAATCTAATAGTACTCCAATTGTTTAAAACCCAAGTTCCAGAAATCATGAAAAATGTTACAACAGCAGATAACAAAGGGTCAAAAAAAAAAAAGAACAGCCACACCTTCTGAAATAAAAAACAAAACCAAAGAACACATTCACACCATCGGTCCAAACGATATCTAGAAAAGAAAAAAAAATTGACAGACAAAACGCATGTAAACATATCAAAAAAAAAAAAAAAAAAAAAACTGTAGACAGAAGGAAATCACAAAACTCACGAAAAAGGAATTGAAGACAGCAAAGCCAACTTTTTATACCAAGCAGTGACAACGACGGCACAGAGATGAATTTTTACAAACGAACCGTTCGGAGCGAGCAGAGAGAGATGAGAACATAAAGGTTGAAAAATTAGGGTTCGAGACCGTGCCTCACCACAGCAAAGCTAACTTTTTATACGAAGCAGCGACAGCGACCGGACAGAGGAAATTTTTATAAACCGATTGACCGGCGCGAGCGGACAGAGATGAGATTCAAAAGGGAGAAAAATTAGGGTTTGAGAGATAAAGAAAGCTAATCCCAAAATGGCTGAGAACGGCGACAACAATTTAGAAAAAAGGAAAGAGCATCCAAAGAAATCGAAACAGGAAAGGATCAACCCGTGGCCTTCGAGGGCAAGGCAGTCTTTTCACTGTGGAAAAGATGGCAAAAATTTGGCTTAACAAACAAATCGAGGGGTATTTTAGTCCGCGCACTGTCCGTGAACAGTAACGCGGTTTTGGGGTTTTAGTATAGGTATAATATCAATTGAGGGTACTTATATCTATTTAAGTGGAATTTTGAATATATTTGAAAGTTTTTATAAAAATTGACATTTTTTAAATTAATGGTTTCTAATACTTTTTTATTTTTAAGTAAAATGACGGATTTAGCCTGCGTGGTCTATCTGCTACTTTAACGCTCTTACCCTGCAACAACGCCGCCTCCGGGCCGCTCCTCTGCAAGTTTTTCCGAATCGCCGTACGTCGGCCTTCGCCATCGACTTATCCCTCGAGACCTTACCATCAAGTAATGAAGGAATGGATGTGTATTGATCCCAAGCAAATCATCCCCACATGCACATCACCCTTTTCTCAATCCACAAGTTTTCGCGTCAGGGGAGCAATCCACAAGAAAATCCTCCCACAACCCTTCGTGTTTTTTTTTTTTTTTTTTTTGGGATCCTCCATCTCTTCAAAATTAACAAATTCTATCACTTAGGTCAGAATCAAGATATAAGATGGTGGGAAATGGAAGAAACCCGAAGCAAAATTGGGAAATTTGGGTCTACTCTTTGAATGCCTCAGAGAAATTTAGTTGAATTTATATGTGAAATTGTTGTTTTTTGCTCCTAATGTGCTATTGAAATCTCTGGAGGCAGAGCACCCAATAATCAACTCCAATTTCCAGACGAACACAAAGTCGTCTTCTTTGCAGGTTCTTCTCTACCAGGTCAGCATCTATGCATTGCAATAATATACTCTATATATATAGATGTATGTATACGTCTGCAAGTTTGTTTCAATCTTTCACTGTACTAGATTTTCCAGTAAATCTGGTCATCAGGTGCTTAAAGTTTTGAATTTAGTGATTGGCTTAATCACTATTAGGAGTTTAATATTGGATTTGTTAGGCTTATTCCTGTTTTAGTGAAGTCTGTTAGAAAGGAGCTGAGTTCCCAGAATTGTATCAGATCAGAATTTACAAACAGAAATAAAAGGTCGTACCCATGCACAAGGCTCCCGCTTTACGCAGGGTCTGGGAGAGGTGAATGTCGGCTAGCCTTTATGGAGAGGCCGCTCCCAAGTCTCGAACCCGAGACCTACCGCTCATGGGCGAAAGCACTTGCCATCGCACCAAGTGCGACCTCTTAATTTACAAACAGAAATACAAACCAAAAAATATATTGGAGCCCTGCTCCCTTCTACTTCATCTTCTCCATTTGCCATTACCATCGCTGCTTGCTGGTTGAGATAGGGTTATGAGATTTGGGCTCTATCACACTTGGGTTCTTTGGTATCTGATTGGTTGATTATGTCTGAACTTTTTGGGTTTATTGGGTTTTTAGTTCTTGGTTGTTCCTTTTAAGCAAGATTTGAATTTTTGTTTAGAGAATTGGGCTTAATTTGAAAACAGTTTTATAGAAAGCCGGGCATCATGTCAATGCCAGAAAAGCCTAATTCGGTACGTACACATGGTGACCTGAGGAGAGGGAACCTTGCGTTCAAGCACTTTACTGAACTGGAACCAATGTCTAAGATTGTTGGTCATTGATGAAAATGAAATTGGAACTCCTTTCTTTACGTTGGAAGACTACAAAACCGCAAAAAAAGGCAATCCTCTCATGGACATGCAATACTCTTGATACGTAAAGGGGCTTTCAGCACAAATTAATAAGAGCATACACCAGTGCAACTGAGGTTTGGAGAACGACTCTTAAAATATTCGAATCATTCATCATCATGACATATAAGATAGCTGTACAATTAACCGAAAGATTTGTTACTGATAAATGTATTTCCAGTTTCAGCATGTTCCTCTCTCTGCTCTCTGTGGGAGGAGGTTATCAGAAAGTTACTCACCCTTGGTGTCTGCATAAGCTCAAGTTTGGACTTGTGCCGGAACTGGTTCATGTGTCAAGCATGCACGCACCAAGGACCAAGTCGCTCGACCCGCTGCATGGAGAAAGCTGGAGATGATCGGATAATTAATGTTGAAAGAGTATGGAAAACTTGCAACATGAAAGTTGTAAATGGATTGCATGCTGTGTTTTAACACATGTTTTAGACATTTTTATTTAAATAACATTAAACTCTTGATGTTGTTTGAAATTGAAAGTACATGGATCTTCAGAGCATCGTATAATCTATTTTTAGGCAAGGAATGTGGGATATTTTGGGCTAGTATCGTCCTTTTCCAGGTTGACTTCTCTCTTTTTGTAAAGGACACCTGACGATCGAAAGTAACCCAAGTGAAAGAGGCAGGCCCTCTTCTGGAATGGATGCTAGCTTTGGACAATCTTCGAGGCTCAGAGTCTGAAGAGAGGTGAGGAATTGAATGCCCTTGCTGATTTTCTTCAGATTTAGGAAGTCATAAATTTCGAGTTCAGTGAGAGATTTGGGAGCAGCATCTCCTCCTTCCCATCAGGTGGAAATGACAACACATCTGGATCTTCACTTCTGATCAACAACTTTCTAAGAGAGGAGAGTTTGTGCAACCCCCACTCCAACTCCCAGAGCCGCTTACAACTCTCGACTTTATAAATTCCAAGTGATGTCAGGTTGGGAGGAAATGAATCAAGATATAAAGATGGTGGGAAATGGAAGAAACCTGAAGCAAAATTGGGAAATTTGGGTCTGCTCTGTGAATGCCTCAGAGAAATTTAGTTGAATTTTATCTGTGAAATTGTTGTTTTTTGCTCCTAATGTGCTATTGAAAGCTCTGGAGGCAGAGCACCCAATAATCAACTCCAATTTCCAGAAGAACACAAAGTCGTCTTCTTTGCAGGTTCTTCTCTACCAGGTCAGCATCTATGCATTGCAATAATATACTCTATATATATAGATGTATGTATACGTCTGCAAGTTTGTTTCAATCTTTCATTGTACTTGATTTTCCTGTAAGTCTGGTCATCAGGTGCTTAAAGTTTTGAATTTCATGTTTTATTATTCGTACCACTTTGTTATGAACTTAGGATTTAGTGATTGGCGTAATCACTATGAGGAGTTTAATATTGGATTTGTTAGGCTTTTCTTGTTTTTAGTGAAGTCTGTTAGAAATGCAGCTGGCATTAAAGGTGAAAGTCTATAAAAGGGAGCTGAGCTCCCTGAATTGTATTAGATCAGAATTTACAAACAGAAATAAAAAGGTTGTACCCAGTGCACAAGGCTCCCGCTTTACGCAGGGTCTGGGAGAGGTGAATGTCGGCTAGCCTTACCTCCATTTATGGAGAGGCTGCTCCCAAGTCTCGAACCCGAGACCTACCGCTCATGGGCGAAGGCACTTGCCATCGCACCAAGTGCGACCTCTAATTTACAAACAGAAATACAAACCAAAAAATATATTGGAACCCCTGCTCCCTTCTACTTCATGTTCTCTATTTTCCATTACTATCGCTGCTTGCAGGTTGATTATGTCACACTTGGGTTCTGAGATTTGGGCTCTGTCACACTTGGGTTCTTTGGTATCTGATTGGTTGATTATGTCTGTGAAATTTTAAGGTTTATTGGGTTTTTAGTTCTTGGTTGTTCCTTTTGAGCAAGATTTGAATTTTTGTTTAGAGAATTGGGCTTAATTCGAAAACAGTTATATAGAAAGGAGAATATGGAGTGCCCAGTGGCAGGAAGAGGAGGAAGAGCTCGTCATGTCAATGCCAGAAAAGCCTAATTGGGTACGGACACATGGTGACCTGAGGAGAGGGAACCTTGCGTTCAAGCACTTTACTGAACTGGAACCAATGTCTAGTGACAGATACAAAGTAGCAGGGAGTATGTTTGCCAACGCTGGAGAAAACGAAAATGCAACTGAAATTTGGAAACTCATTGGAGAAAATGAATTGGAGATTACTCGTGGGATGAGTTTCATCAAAATAGATGGTGCCGTCCATGAGGTTGTAGTGTGGACTATTCATCATAGCAGGCACAAAGAAATCTACATTGGAATTGGAACTCCATTCTTTACTTTGGAAGATCGCAAAACCGCTAAAAATGGCAGTCCTCTCATGGACATGCTATACTCTTGATACGCAAAGGGGATTTTAGCACAAATTGATAAGGGCATTTACCAATGCAACTGAGGTTTGGAGAAAGACTCGTAAAATATTCGATTCATTCATCATTGTGGCAGAGAAAATAACTATATATTCACAATTTATTGAAAGATTTGTTACATGGTAGAATTCTTACGTAATCACAGTTATATATATATAGATAATATACAATGATAAATGTATTTACAGTTTCAGCGTGTTCCTTTCTCTGCTCTCTATGGGAGGAGGTTATCAGCAAGTTACTCACCCGTAGTGTCTGCATAAGCTCAAGTCTGGACTTATGCCGGAACTGGTTCATGTGTCAGGCATGCACGCACCAAGGACCTGGTCGCTCGACCCACTGCATGGAGAAAGCTGGATATGGTCGGATAATTAATGGTGAAAGAGTGTATGGAAAACTTGCCACATGAAAGTTGTAAATGAATTGCATGCTGTGTTTTTAACACATTTTTTTAGACATTTTGATTTAAATAACATTTTTTTAGAAACTGGAAGTACCTGGATCTTCAGAGCCACGTACAATCTATTTGTAGGCAAGGAATGCGGGATATTTTGGGCCAGTATCGTCCTTTTCCAGGTTGACATCTCTCTTTTAGTAGAGAACACCCTAAGATCAGAAGTTTCCCAAGTGAAAGAGGCAGGCCTTCCTCTGGAATGGATGCGAGCTTTGGACAAGCAATTAGTTGCAGAGTCTGAAGAGAGGTGAGGAATTGAATGCCATTGCCGAGTTTCTTCAGATTTGGACAATGAAATAGTTTCAGAGTCTGAAGAGAGGTGAGGAATTGAAGGCCTCGGCCAAGTTTCTTCAGATTTGGGAAGCCACAAATTGTGAGTCCAGAGAGAGAATTGGGGAGCAGCATCTCCTCCTTCCCATCAGGTGGAAATGACAACACATCTGGATCTTCACTTTCGATCACCAACTTTCTAAGGGAGGAGAGTTTGTGCAACCCCCACTCCAACTCCCAGAGCCGCTTACAACTCTTGAGTTTAGAAATTACAAGTGATGTGAGGTTGGGAGGAAAGGAAGTCAAACCTTCCAAGCAGTCAATCTCCAATTCCTTAAGAGACGTGAGATTGCGAATGTCTTCCGGTGACACCTCCAATTTTCCGCAGTCCCTAACAATAAAAGCTTGAAGATTGGTGAGGTGGCATAGGCCCTCCGGTAAGGATTTCAGATTTGGACACGTGTCAATACTAATATATTCAAGACAATTATTAGTGTTGTCGTGGAAGAACCGGTCTGATGCTATTAACTCTAGCCCTTCACATGCATATATCTCAAGGTGTTTAAGCGCCCTGTAAAGCTGGCCTCTCGGTGATAACGATGTCAGAGATGGACAACCATGTACCTCCAAGTGCTCAAGAGAAACAGAAAAAGAAGATGAACAAGAAACAACGAGCTCCTTCTCCTCCTCCACTAATGATTTCAAACTTCCACACTCCCATATCTCTATTCTTTTCAGATTTTGGGGAATCTGATATTTTGCAATATACGTCAGAGAGGGACAGTAGTGAATCTCCAAGACTTTAAGAGAAGGTGGCAGGCCAACATCTGGAAAAGAACTAGACTTGAACAGTGGCTTATGTGAAGCTCTTGAAGAAACGACAACTGACGCAACCCCTTCGGCAGCTTCGAAAGACGTTCACAGTTGTTTATTTCCAGATATTCAAGCTTGCAAGCTAAAATTGGAACCTGCAGCAACCCCTCCAATTCTTTTCCGAGATCTTCAACAAGGGCAGAGTTGCCTTCAATAACCAAACGAACAAGAGAAATCAGGTGTGGGAAACATCTATCCTCTTTTTCCAGTGAAGACGTCAGCTCCTCACAACCACTAATCTTCAACTCCTTAATCTTGCCCAATCCTTTCGTAAGTCCCCTTGCTCCCAACCGCGGCTCCAAAATATTTGAAAGCCTCATGGTCTCTAATAACTTAAAGTCAACCTCTGCGCTAGTATGCACAAGCGCTTTGCAACCATGGATGCTTACTTCACTCGCGTGTTCATAATTGGCAATTTCCACCACCAATTCCTTGCACCTATAAATCTCAAGCTTTGATAACGAATTAAGTTTCTTCGGCAACTCACCCTCCAATTTAGGGCAGCCTTGGACTAAAAGCATTTTTAGGCTAGGGAAAACACCACTTCCCTTATCCTGATCGAAAGGCAGCCATTTCTCCCACTGCTCCATCTCCGAAAACTTGAGAATCTTTAATACTCGAAAAGGCAAACTACCCTCTCCGTAGAATTCAGGACCAATGATTTCCACGGCAGTCATTCCCCCGATATAAAGTTCTTTAAGGCAAGGCAACTGTCCAACTGGTGGCAAGAGATGACAACTTGCACAATTGTATAAGCTTACACGGACCATGTTAGAGAACAGAGGATCTCCAATCCACGATGAAAATTTCAATCCAGCATAACCTTCAATGGTGAGCTCTTTGAGATTTTTAGGAGGTTGTAACATGTCAAGCACACCCAACTCCATTTCCCTCGATCCGCTCAAATTAGACCATTCCAGCTGTAATGAATCAAGCCTCTCCTTGTCTATTAACTTGGCCTCACTAGCATCCTTAGCATCAACCACATTCTCCAATCTTGAGAGGCACAATGTCCCTCGGAGATGCAGTAGGGACCCTATCTCTCTTATCCCAGACTGATCACTACCTTTGCCTACCACAAAATACGACAAGGATTGCAGATTCGTCAATCGACCTATATGCGGAGGCATTCCTTCCAATCCACTGGAATTGTTGAGATGCCGCAAATTAATTAGATTACTCAAGTTTGAGGGCAATGCCTTCAATTTAGAACAACCTTTTAATAACAATGTTTGCAGATTGCAAAGAGTGGTTGTTGATGGAGGCAAACTCTTTATCTTTGTATAAGAAAGGTCCAGATACCGTAGATTCCACAATTTACCAATGGAATTGGGCAGCTCGGTTATTTCATAGCCATTCAAAGAAAGCACCCGTAAGATTCGCAGTTCTGGCAATAGATCAAATGTAAGCCGACGAGTTAGATAGTTCCGATTATATTGTGAAAGCCGAATTAAATCTTGTGCAAATGGCAGGAATGTCCTCAAATGTTTAACTTTGGAAATGGCCTCAAATTTTTTAACCCCATCAAACCTACCACTGACATAAGACATATGACGAGCCATTGGATGCAAGTCACAATTTTCCTTGTCCTCCAATGAAAAGCATATTTCAGCTGCAGCCCACCGCGCCAACTCACCAATAAGGTCATGCATTACATACTTATCATTGCTTTTGCTTGCCTTTTGAAATAATGACCTGGACAATAACTCTTGAAAATAGTCACTGCCTACTTCTTCCAATTGTTTCTTGTCCTCTACTCTTTGTTGAATCAAACCTTCTGCCATCCACAGAAGGATCAACTGCTTCTCCCCGAACTCATAGTCATTTGGAAGTAGGGAACAATAGGCGAAGCACCGTTTCAAACTCGAAGGGAGATAGTGATAGCTCAATTTTAATACCGGGAGAATGCCACTATCGTCTGATAGACTCCACATCTTGTTGTTTAAGATTGCCTCCCATTCTTCCACTTGTTTACAACGTAGAAGACCTCCAAGAGTCCTTGCAGCCAATGGCAATCCGCGGCATTTTGCAACAATTTTCTCCTTTATCAACTCAAACTTTTGCGGCCTTTTATTGGTAATGTCCAAGAGCGAATGCTGCTCAAAGACTTCCCAACATTGATCGTCTGTTATGCCACCCAATTGATAAACAGTGGATCCCATCATGTTTGCAACATTTGCATCACGTGTTGTCACAACTATCTTACTTCCTAATGCTCCAACACGAAAGGGGGACTGCAATTTTATCCACAAATCATAGACACATGTATTCCAAACATCGTCTAAAAAAATTAGAAACTTTTTTCCTGCGAGCTCCTTACTCAAACTTTCTTGAACCTGGTTGAATTCCTTGTACTCCTTTGCAAGACCAGATGTGGCGGATTCAAGAATTGCCTTTGTCACTCTCTCAAGATTGAAGTCATCCGACACAGATACCCACACTTTTAGGTTAAACTCTTTTGTCGCGTCATCATCATATACATGCCTTGCAAGTGTTGTCTTTCCCACTCCAGGCATACCGACAATGGCAACTACATGAAAGTTGACGACACGGGGTGCTTCTTTCACCAACAAGTCAATAATCTTCATCTTGTCTGTATCCCTTCCAATCACAGGTCCTTCTGGTAGATAGGAACTTGGTGACACATGCCATTCCTTAGTAGATGGCGTCCCCTCATTTAAACCAAGTTGGTTTTTCCGTTCCACTATCTCACGTAACCGATCAGTAATCTTCTTTATTTCTGAGCTCAAGTTATAGTTAAATTTAACATCAGAAAACAATCCTCATACTTTGCTTGTGGTAGCCCAATGTTTCTTCTTTATTTGGCGTCGCAATATCTCGGTTGAATACTTGTCCAATATGTCTTCCACATCATAAGCCAAGTCTCTAAGACCATCCAGCCACAATTTCACTGCTCGGCTCGTCAACTGCTTCTCCTCCGCGTCATTCAGTACTGCTTGAATAGCAAACAACATTGAATTCCATTTGTCCGGCTCTTTGCCAACGCCAAGTAGGCGTCTAAAGTAGCTCAGCGTCTCACGAGATGTCAACCTTTCAAGTAACACTTGAAGTAATCCAGAAATAAAGACCTCTCCTAGTGACATAGCTTATAAGAACTTCTTCAGGATCGTGTTTATTAACAGCTTCTTCAGGAGAAAGGAAGGTATCAAGATTGAAAGAGTGAAGTGAGGCACCCAATCCAAGAACAAGTAAGCAAATGTTACGGGGAAGCTTGAGCAATGTCAACCGTGGAACTGCAAAAAAATGAAACTCGTTAAGAAAAAGTTACATAAATTCTAGTTTTGTTGTCTCACCGAATTTTCTCAAAGCTTTTAGTATTTATCGAATCAAAAATTATGATTTGTGTCATAGTTACAAGCTCAGAGATATGTCATGAGTATAGTAAACAAATTGGCCTCAGGATTGTTCTTGTCAGAAATGTTTTTCTTTTTGCACATAAATTTGGAACACTTTTTTTCTGCCAAAAATAAGAGCCAGCTATTCCCGTACCAATTTCCATTGAAATCATAACAAGATGGTTTATGCAATGATGATTAGTTATACATAGAGTTAGGATTGGGGGCACACATGTTTTGAGACACACTTTGTAGAGCATGTTAGGATTTTGCTCGTCGGTATTAGAGTCCTACTTTGTTTAGGATTGTATTAGAAAAGCTAAAGGTGCACATATAGGCATGTAAACAACACCCTATACTTACAAATAGGGTGTGGCTAGAAGCAGAAAAACTAAGACAAGTAAGAGAAGAGAGGGAATGAGATTAGTCATATGGTTTGCAAAAGTATTGTATACTTTATTGTTAATTAAATAAGCCATGATTTCTCTATCTAGAGAAATCACAACAGGACGTAGGCAAAAGTTCTGCTGAACAAGGATAAATATTGTGTGTTTATATGTTATCTCTATTTGCTAAGCTTAGTGTACTGCTAGATACATCAAAGAACATAACCTAGACGGGGAGTTGAAATTTTACAATTGGTATCAAGAGCTTGGTTCAAGGTGTTCTGCGATGGAAAGAGGAATGCTGATAGCAGGTTTAAGAAGCTTAAGGTATGTGTTAAAACATTTTGATGGCAAGGATGACTTCATGGATTGGCAAAGGATGATGAATCATGTATTGATACATCATGATTTAGATGATGCACTCCTTGGTGAGACCGACCATGATAGAAGCAACGTGGACCAATATTCTCAAGAAGACCAAGAGTTCCATCGAGACTCATCTCACGAAATCAGTCAGGTCCTATGTTACAGAAATGATGACTATTAAGGAAGAATATGACAACTTGGAGAAGGTTTATAGGGGCAAATCCGTGTCCGATAAACTGTTTCTCAAGAATGAATTATTCGGGCTTTGCCTAATGAGATGATATTAAAGATCACGTATTCCATAATTGCTTGGCAAATGGAAGAGAAAAACACCAACATGGGTTGGTCAAAATCCAAGAAGAAAACGGAAAAGAAAGAAGGCTGCTTCGAATGTGGTTATGCTGATCATTAGAAGAGGAACTGCAAGATTTGGAAGGAGAAGAAAGATACGATGGAAGAAAATGATGTTTAGCTAGTACAATCACCGAATAGGAGAGTGACAATGAGCTTTTTTAGGTAACTTGGGGCTTCAAGGCTTTCATAAGTTGGATATTGGAAATCCGATACACATTCCATATGTGTTAGGTAAGAGAATGGTTCGATACCTACAAAGAGGTCAGTAGCAGAATAGTTTTAATGACGGATGATTGGCCATGTCCTCTAAAGAGATCGACATTGTTAGATTCAGGATGTTTAATGGAGTGATATGAGCTTTGAGAAATGTCAGATATGTCCCTAGACTAAAGAAGAATTTTGATCTCCTTAGGTACTTTAGACAAGACAGTATAGTTCTAAAGAAGAAAGACTTGAGGTGACCAAAGGATCACTGGTGGTAATACAGGCTGACATATAGTACAATAAGTTGTACAAGCTCATCGGGACTATGATAATAGAGGGTGCAGTCGTTTCCACCAAGCACAATAAAAAAGACAAGACTGACCTTTTTATTATAGGCTAGGGCATATTAGTCAGAAGGGTTTGCAAGAATTATAAAAGAGAGGCCTACTAAGGCGTGTCATTTTGCAAACTCCACTTTTGTGAGTATTGCGTTATTATGAAGCAAAGAAATGTATCATTTGCATATACCAATGCAGATAACCAAAGTAAGGAACAACTTGAAGAACATGTTGACCAAGGACTTTGACATGAAGGATCTACGTTTTGCACAAAAATCCTTGGCATGAAAATTCAAAGAGAAAGGATTTGTGGTAGAATCTGGATATCACAAGCCAAGTATATTCAAAAGGTTCTTGAGAAGTTCAACATACTAGAAGTAAAGGTAGTTTCGGCTCTTTAATTCGGCGGCTTACTATAGATTAAGTGGCCAACAATGTCTTAGGTCCAAGAGAGAAACAAGTGATGGAGAATGTGCCTTATGCTAATGTCTTGGGTTGCCTAATGTACGCAATGGTATGCACACGACCCGACCTAGCTCAAGCAATCAGTGTAGTTTCCAAGTACATGGAATATCCAGGAAAGTAACATTAGGCTGGAGTCAAGTGGATTATGTGTTACTTAAGAGGTTTTTGGCAACATAGGATTATGTTTAAGAATCAAAAAGTAAATTCTGGAGTGGTGGGATATGTTGATGTCGAATATGCAGGAGACTTGGACAATAGATTGTCAACTTCTAGTTATGTCTTTATATACGCAAGAGGACCAATCAGCTGGAGGGCACTACTGCAACCAATTACAACTTTGTCAACCACAAAAGCAAAGTACACATATTGCTCTAACCCAAGTTGTAAAGGAAGCAATTTAGCTTAGTGGCTTGGCTAGCCAAATGGGAATCACTCAAGATTACGTGAAGTTGAAATGTGACAATGTAATTCACTTGGCAAAGAATCAGGGTTTTCATGGAAGATCAAAGCATATTGAAGTGAGGTCTCATTTTTAATTCGTACACACCATTCTCAATTTACGACCAACAGATCGAATGAAGTGAAGAAAATCAATGAACAAAAATTAACAAGGGTGTGTGGGAGGTAAAAATGAGTGTGAATAGCTTTACCCATTAAGGAATCCCAGATTGGGTGGAGTCCAAGAAGATTTGGGTTGGAAAGGTTCACATGGACGACAATGCCGCATATTTTCTTATCTAGATAATGTCGGCCAAGAAATTCAAGCGTTGCTTGAACTTGATCAATCTAGTTCATTGATTAAGGTGGAGGGCCTCCTCACTTGAGATGCAATGAGAAGATAAGAAGTTTTCCAAGGTAATGGTTCTAGAAGATTTCTAGAGCTGCTTCAAGAAGGTTCGAGATACTCTAAGGGTGCAATAGTCAAGACTTGGTTTAACTCACCAAAGTAGAGATTGTTAGGATTTAACTTGTCAATGTTAGAGTCCTATTTTGTTTAGGATTGTATTAGGACAGCTAAAGGTGCACAAATTCTTGTTCTATATGGATTAGGAAAGAATTCATGGCGCGTTTACATAAGGGGAGTGGGACAAGAGGAATGGGAATTGCACTCCTCCCAGGTTATTCAAGTGTTTACCAACACTTGAGGGAATGAAATGTATGTGGGACCCATCTAATATGGGGAATCAGACTCCCAATATACTCGGAATCAGTCTCCTGAACAATAGATGAGATTTGAATTCCAGGAGAAAGCCTCTATCTGAAATCCTTTTTTTCTACCCAAAATACCCTTATCTCATCCCTTCCACCTCTTTCTCTGCTTCTGTGTGTCTCTGCGGGCAGTGACCAATATCAAAGGAGAAGAAAAATCGTAAGGGAAGAAGAAGAAGATGGAGAAAAGAGATGGAGAAGCTAAAAAGAATTGGGAAATGGGGTGTTGCGCGGTCTTCACGAGAAAGAAAAAACAATTGGCGGATGGGGAAGAAGAATCAAAAGGGAGCAAGAAGAAGACGGGAAGAATCAGAAGAATGGGAGGCTGAAAAAAATTGGGGGATGCTTGAAAAGAATTGGGCAATGGGGTGCAGTTTGGGCCTCAGGAGAAAGAAAAATAATTGAGGGATGGGGAAGCAGAGCCCACTCCATAACTTTATTCAACAATCCAAACCATCTATATTTCAATTCATCATTTATAAATCATCATTGCAAAAATTAGAAAACCCTAAATCATTAATAAGTTTATTTGTAGAAAATTAAATGGATGAATACAGTTGTGCAAAAAAAATACTAAAATGAATATCATTTAATCTAACTTAAATATTGTTTTGTTTTTTGGTGAATATTGGTAGACACGTTATTTGCGGGAAGACCAAAAAAATAAACGGTTAGAAAAAAAGTTGCTTAATGTGCTCTACGAATGAGTATCAAATGTGTTTTAAAAAAATGAATGTCCCCGATCCTAATCCTTATATACAAAATTTCATGACAAGCACAAAGAAATAAATCTCATAGGGATTTCGACTAAGCTTTAATTTTATTTTAGGAGAAATTAGGTTCTCATCCTTCCTTTTGCTACTCCATTGATTAAAATCCTATTCTTTTCCAATTTTTGATCAAGGTCCTTGGGTATTAATAACATCATTAATTATTTCAATAATAAAATATTTTTATTTCTAAATATATTCATTTAATGTTAAAAATGTTACAATTAGTATATTTATATTTATGACTAAATTTTTTATCATATTTTTAGTTTTAGTTTGTAACCATTTTTAATTTGCAATCCTTTTTTAATTTTTACCAATTTTTTTTTCAGTTTGAATTTGTACCCATATATTAATTTCTTTTTTTGCCCATATTTTTTAAAGTTTTATTTGTATTTGTACCCATATTTAAAAAAAAAAATTATTTGTACCCATTTTTTATTTTACCAAATGTACCCATGCTAATTATATGTACCCATTCATTTAATTTTTTTCAAAATTTTAATCTTAAAATGTACTCATTCTTAAATATACCAATTTACTATATGTAAAATGTACCATTTTTTTATATAAAATCTATTCATTTTTTTTCTAATCCATTTTTAAACTTATATGGGTACATTATTTTTTATTTGATTTTAAAATGTATCAATGTCAAGTTTAATCGAAAAAAATTACTAATGTTATTAAGCCTAATATCTTTCTTTTTTTGTGATTTTGAAGAATGTACCCATGTTTTTATACAATAATTTTTTGGTTAATTTTGATGAATGTACCCATGTTTATATACACACACACACAATAATATATTTATATTTTAATATTTTTAATCCCACAAATTATGGTTTTTTATTTAAAATCTCATTTATATAAACAACTAAAAAATTTAGTTTTTAATTTTAAAAATATAGTACGTA